ATAAAATCAATTTCAATTTACTTGCTGAAACAATGTGTTTAACAACAACTCGTTATATTTTACAAGTTGGTAGCGAATCAACTATAGGAATGGGTAAAACAAGCATGCTACAATTTATCTTTCCTGATAAACGAATTGAAGCATTGAATACAGATGGGAGCTCAACTCTTCGAAATGGTTCTATCGATGTACTTTTCCCATCAGATTCAGCGAATCAAAACAATGAATCTTATGTTATCTTTGACGTTCACGGAACAATTAATGCGTTGAATGAAGATATTATTACGTCTATTCAAGAATATTGTGCACTACAAATTTTGTATGTGACAGAAAAAGATCTTAAAAGTACATTTTTAAGTTCTATGATGAATTATTCACAACATACTCAAGCAAAACCTACACTCGTTATCATTTTTGATCTAAACTATGATAATAAACATCATCAACCAGGAAAACTAATTGATGCTTTTCAATTACAATATAAGAATTGGAAGTATGTTAGATGGGTAACAGCACCATCTTCTACAATATGGTATCAAATTGATAGTAATAAGAAAAATAAAGACTTGGCACGTTCACAACGTCTTCAAAAATCATTTCGTGAAATATGGACAAGTCTAGATAGAGAAATAGGACGACAAATATATTGTACATCAATATTTTCCATTCAATCTTATTATCTCGCAGTTAAAACTTCAATAAATTTCAATCCACCAATAAACTGCCGTTTTAAAATTGTAAAGCATCTCGACGAATTATTTGGTGATTTAGATGAAACAAAAGAAAATCTTCGTATAGTTACACCTGTCAGTTATCTAGATTCCGAAATTAAACAGTGCGAAAGAGATTTATCGAATAACTGGGATGCTCCTCAAACGGCCTTACATAATAGAAGAGACGATTTAATTCGACAACGATCAGCAAATACAACTATGGGTCCTCATACTAAGTTTTTTGTTGAATTATTGACTAGTGATTCATACGTTGAATTACTGATAACTGAAAAATACTTAGAAAAATGGCGATCACGATTTGAACCAACATTACATAAACAATTAACCGAGGCGAAAATAGAAGCTTTGAAATTTAGTTCAAAAATTAAACAGTTAGAACAAGTTTTGTCAGCAGACGAGAAACCCAACCCAGTATATCTATTGAAAATAAAAGAAGAACTACGTAATGTTCGAGCTGAATACGAAAAACAACGTACACTTGTTACCAAAATTAATAAGAAATTAATGAATATTGATTTGACTATAGGTCTCTTTTGTGATGAAATCATGGCTTTATATGATCATTTACCACGTATATTTAATTCTGAAGGTCTTATACAAAGTCTTGCCAAACAATTAGTAAATTTAATGTTAAAAGGTTTTGCAATTCATATAATTCGTGGTCGTCCATTACGTTGTGATAGTAAATTAATCGAACAATGTATAAAATTTATTCCAACAACACAACAACCACCTTTAGTTTTAACAGTTATTGGAGAACAATCATCTGCCAAATCATCATTAATGAATACAACATTTGGTTGTAATTTTCGTGTTAGTGCTGGGCGTTGTACCATTGGAATGTATATGAGTGTTATACGATGGAAATCAGAAACAATTGTTATTTTAGATACAGAAGGTTTACTTTCATTAGAAGAAGCTGGTTCAATATTTGATAATCAAATGGTTACAATGGCTATGCTTTCTTCACATCTTGTTTTAATTAATCATAAAGGTGAATTTACTTCGAATTTGAAAGATCTTATTGGTATGAGTTTCTATGCTAAATTACAAATTTGTAGTCCAATTAAACCTAAATTACTATTTGTTTTAAGAGATCAAGCAGATCTAACATCTAAAGCAACCTTCTTTCGACAATTGGCACAGTTGAAAGAACAATTACAAAATGATAGTAAATTTCTTAAAATTTCGATTGATGAAGAACTTGATATTAACAATGAAAATGTTTATTTATTACCTAATGCATTTTCACATGATGTAAATCCCATTTCAAATATTCCTCAATGTTGGAGAAATCAAACATTTCCTAAAGAAATTATTACACTACGAGACATAATATTTAATAACATAATAAGTACTACAAAGACACAGAAGTTTCAATTCGTTAAGAATCTTTCTACTCCTATTACGGCCGCTCTTCCCGATCCTCAAACACCTATAAATGAACCAGCTTATGCAGACTTGACACATTTGTATGGAAAAATCTCAAGTAATTGGGAAGCAATCGATAAATTAGGTCCTAAATTATTGCAATGTAAAACCCTGTATGAACTGTCGATAATGAATGAACTTCAAGCAATAGCTAATGAAATAATTAAGACAACAAATGTGAATGTCTATCGAGATGGTGAAAACATAATTGATCAAACATTACTGAAGTTTTCAAGTAATAATTTTATTGATCAAGATCGTGATCATATTGTTGAAGAGTTTAATCATCAATTAAGCTTAATTATTAAACGTGCTATCGAACAAGCACAATCTAATTTTAATGATAAAACAGAAAGAAGTTGCTATTTATCAGAGATAAAATCAAAAGTGAGCAAATCTATTGAATCACCCATTTATTCTGTAAAACATTTACTAAAAGAAATTTTTGAAGAACGTTTACACGATCTATTAAGAAGAGCTCGTATAAATGATGCTCAAAAACAACTATTGGACTCAGTACAAAAGACATTCGATCAAAATAAGAGTCTTAAACTAGATGATTTGAAAGATCATCTTGAAAAGGAATTTCAAAATATTATTGAAAGAGTTCGAACAGATCTTCAATCATCATTTGAAACACCACCTTTGATTACAGAAAAAATTCTAAAATTTTATAACACCCAACTGCGTTGTAAACAAGCAGAAACAACAAGAGAAAATATTTACAATTTATTATATCCTTTGAATAAAGTACAATATGACCAGCACATACAAATATTCATAAATTGTTTATCAAAGGTTAGAGAGCAGCAAAACCAGAAGGTCGAACCAAAGCCTAGCGGTAAATGGAAAACTATCAAATCATGTTTTACAGGATCATCAGACAAGGATATAGATCTTGCATGGAGAGTGTTAAAAGATAATGTCAAATGGTTCCTAGACAAAAAAAACGACAATAAAAATAAAAAGCTATTTGCAGAAATATGGAAAGTTGTTTTACTGAAATTTGAAGAAGACCTTTCAACATTGATATCTAATAAAAAATCCATTTCATCAGATCCAACCACTGTGCAAAATCTTTTTCAATTTATTGAAAATGCAATGAATTCTCAATCTATAATGAGTGCTAGCAAACGATTAGAGAAACACATACTCTGTGCAGATCTAGCTTTGATGGGACTTGATATTATTATTAAGAAAGCAATAGATATGGAACAAGCGAATTATGAATCAAAATCACAAAATTCAATCGATGAAATGGAGAAACGTAAAGAAAATTTATTGAAACAATGCAGTGCTATGAAAGATTCATTCGAATTAGGACAAACACTAGCTAAAACAATTGGAGAACAGATCATTACTGATATTGGTCGTCTTCTACGACGTAGAATTGTAAAAGACATAAATGAAGATATAGTTAAAAGTCAATTTATTAATCATGAAGCTATACAAAAACAAGCCTATGAAGAAAGTATAAGTCAAGCCAATGGTGAAAATATTCTTAAATATGTTTATGATATAAATCGTTATTTTATTGATTTGAGCTTAAAAGAAATCAAAACAACATTACATGCTGTAACACATAGTCATACATTAAATTTTCAACATTTGATTATTTTAACTCTCAATAAAGCGAAGGAAGTTGTTCGACAAAGTAACTATGAAGACACAAGTAGATTAAAAAATGATGTAGAGAATGCGATCCTTAGTTTACCTGATTTAAAGCTAGAAAAATCAGTTGATGGCGCATTATTTAAAGTATTCTCTTTGAATAATATAATTTCTATGCCGATTCAAGATATTGAACCATTTAAACAGGGTTTTTCAAGTATTTGTGACTATTACAACGACATTGAAAAGCGAGTTGCAGATTTAACAAAAAATATAAAAGCTGAAGCATTCGAAAGTTGTAAAGGCAGCATCTCAAAAAGGCTTGGATGTCAAGCTCGATGTCCTGGATGTGGTGCTAAATGCAGTAAACCTGAACCTCATGGTGATGAAGAAGTTGAAGCCTGGCACGATTCGTGTGAGAAATGTTCACCAAACAATTGTACTTGTCAACGTTCTAACTCAAGTTCTGTTAAAACTCATGAAACTACATATCATTTAGCAAGTGCATTTCATGGATGGACATACCAGGGATCAAAGAAGCCATGTCTTGAATTATGCTATCAACATTGGACAACAGCAGGGGTTGCTGTATTGAAAAGTGCTCAGTCGACTGACTCAAGTGATGAAAAGAGGGAAGATGACGATGAGTATGAATATATATTTCCACGAGCTAAATATTTCAACACAAACTATCCAGCCTGGTATAATAATTTAAAAAAGCTATCAACCGTAGGTGATGGGTGTAAGGAATCAATTCCACCACCTGATCAAAGACGTGCTTGGATGGTAGTTCGTCACACTCTTGTTAATCGTTATAAAAACAAAATGGTTGACAATAAAGAATATGATAATAAATTATATCCATCGAATGTTGAAAGTTTACCAGCAGACTTTGAACCGAACTGGAAAGATATAGATTTCGCATGATAAAACTTTCTGCTTATACTAAATATTTTACTAATCACATTAATCAATAAATCTGATACAGATTAACTTACTAGATACACATTTAGTAGCAAAATGATGAAATGATTCTATCTAGTTAAAAGATTTAGATGCCTTAAATGAGAAGTATGACAAATCAAATCTGTTAGCGAAAACATTTTATTCGAGCGGTACTCGATAACAAATGCTCTCAAAGTCCATGATAAAGATTTCTCTCAGACACAGGCACTTCTTTTAGAAAACAAAAATATTTAAAATTGAATATCTTTGTCTATTTATTTTATTCAGATATTTTCTGTGTCCTTATGATGCGTTGCAATAAAAAAAACGCGATATGAATTCTTGCGTTGATAGTTCGTCAAACAAGCTCTTTATATACTCATCAAATGAATATAAGGCGTGGGTGTGAGTGTCTCACTAGCTTATCCAATCAACACCTACACCCACATCCACCCACACCCACACCCTAACTGTGATGAAGTCGTGCTGGTGGAAGATCCATGCACGCATTGAGCAGAGTAGGGTATAGACGTGAATGGCGATAGGAGTGAAAGTTGGAGTATGGTTTTAGAGGAGCGACGCAGTCGTACCTCAAATCCACATTCACACTCACACTCTGAAAAAATAAAGCGAAATAACTTTTTATGTATCGGTAAAAAACCGGGGTGTGGTTGTGGGCTTGGATCTTCTCTTTGTTCACATTAATACTTAGCCAACTACACCCTAGTTCAGCAAAGAAGAAAGACCGGAAAAGACGAATCATAAATTCATTACAAAGAGAACGCTAAACTCATTTGCTTAGAACATGGTTATGTGAAATCTCCAAACAATTCAGCACAGAGAGTTAAGTTGTAAATGAAAATTGAGATTGCTGAATACCAATTCATCCAATAGATTTCATAAAAATACTCAAAGTATATTAGTAACTTCCAAATCTGCTATTAAAAGCATGAGTCATTCGGATCTGACAACATATCATTAGAACATGACCTGATGATAAAAAGTAACCAGAAAACATAAGTCAATGTTGAAATGAAGATTCACTAATGCACTTGCTATGAAACTCATTTTTAGAAGCTGATATTTTTAGAACATAAAGAGTATTCTTGATAATAATTTTTTATTATAAAATTTTGTTCTGACCGATTCAAATGCACGGATCTTACAGTAAAAAACTAGATATTTCTTTTAGTGACATCTTTCGTTTATATTTTTTAATAGAATTTTCATTCATCGTGAATGTACTGTAGCGTTCCCACCTAGGTGAAACTTACTTTTCACGATAATAAAAAATATAAATAAATTTGTCACATTTCTGTAAGAGTTTTTTTTCCTAACTAAACGTTAAAACCAGCTGTCGTCTATCATAGTGCATGTGAACATTGATTTAATGACTCATGCATATGTGTTTATAGATTATATATGCAGTTTAAAAAAAATACATTGATTCCATCTACTCGATAGAAGTGAAGTATGCAATCATAATGCAGCATGCTTTTAATAATAGTACACTATTATGAATCATGTTTATGGCACTCTTTTATTCGAAACATGAATACTATGTGAATACTTAGACACGTATGCATTACACATTATTGATACCTTGATTCTTATTTTTCGTTTATTTTTTGTTTACACAGAATATTGTTTGCATGTTCGAAATAACAAATATATTAATAAATGTTTGACATATCGAATAATAAAAATAGTAATATTATTATTTTAGTATTCTATATCGAATAGTACTTGTATGAATATGGATGAAACAATAACTTCAATTAGTAGTATTCCATTGGTAATGAAAGCTGCACAACAAAGTAATTTTGGAGAAATTCGTGAAGTATTAACGCTACGTGATGATGTAAAAGTACCTCGAAATTTATCATCAAAACAAATTCTTGTTCGAGTTCATGCTGCTTCAATTAATCCTGGTGATTACAAATTATTAATCGGAAGTTTATGGCCTATTATTCGTTTTTCATTTCCACATATACCGGGTATTGATGTTGCTGGTGTTGTTGTCGATATTGGTTCTGCTGTAAAACGTTTTAAAATCGGTGATAAAGTTTATGGTAATGTTGGCATCAAAGGTGGTAGTTATGCTGAGTATGTTTGCGGAAATGAATCAATGTTTGCATTAAAACCAACAAATTTAACAATGGAAGAAGCAGCTGGTGTACCAGTAGCATGTGAAACAAGCTATCAAGCATTATTTAATAAAGCTTCACCTCGTGTGGGAGCTGGAACAAAAATCTTCATATGTGGTGGTAGTTCAGCGACAGGTTTCTTTGCTATTCAATTAGCAAAAGTTGTTGGTGCTCAAGTTGCAACAACATGTTCACAAAGAAATTTCAGTTTTTTACAAAAACTTGGTTTGATCATATTTAACTAATCATTTATTAATTCTTTTCTTTTTATAGGTTATACATTAACAGAAAATAAAGATGAAATAAATAATGATCCAGAGAAAATACTTGTGATTGATTATAATGTAAAAGATTTTGGACAAGAACTCAATGGTAAATTTCATTAAATTTTAATTGTTCATATATTAGTTCTTTTTGATTTTAAAGGAGAAAATTATGATGTTGTTTATGATTGTGTGGGTGGTCAACAACAATGGATATCAGCACAGCAAATATTAAAAATAGGTGGTCAATTTATTACTATTGCTGGTGACGATACAAATCCAATTGTTTCATTTAGATGGATTACTACAGTTGTTGCAAGTTTAATTAATCGTAAATTTTGGTCAATATTTAGTTCAGCTCATCATAATTATATATATCATGGTCTTTATCAAACACCAGAAGATCTTGATGATATACGAACAACTTATATTGAAACAGGCAAAGTCAAACCATTAATTGATACTATTTATGATTGGCGAATAGATGGTGTTGAAGCATTATATTTACCTTATGAAAAAGCAAGAAGTGGAAAAGCTCAAGGAAAACTGATTCTTAAAATAGCTGATGAAGAATAAGCTTAGCATTTAGTTTTTCTTTATATTTTATTATAGCATTTATGGGTTCTTTTTGTTTTTTCTAATTCAGAATAGCATTTGCAATGATGCAAAATAGCTATTTCTTTCTATTAACAAAATATTTAAATAGAGGTAGGCATTTATTTGATAAAAAAACATATTTTTTTTTAAATACAATATAACTATATATTGAAGAAGAAATTTTTATTTCAATAATTGCATTAGTGATGTTATTATGGTCAACATAATTAATAACAAGTGAACAGAATGAAATGAGAATTGTCATCTTCAATTGGACAAATTTTATTAAATTAAAATTGTCTTCGATACTATCTATTACAATAGTAGTTAACTTGTGATTTTAAAAGCTACACATAAAGACTAGCAACTAAGTAAATTAACAAAAATCAGGACATAGATACATAAAACTATTGACTCAACAAATAATAATCATAAAGATTACGGGTAACTTAATAGAATTATTTGCATTTGGTACATATTAACCATAGCTATATTTAAATTCTTTAGTATGACATTATTATCTCTATTATTTTGAATTATTAGTAATTATATTTATAATCTTTTACAATATATCTCTGTTGATTGATATTATATAAACAACAACGATATGTTTGTTTTTCATAAGCTATGTATTATGTGGATGATTGTTATAACGATTTGGTTATTTTTAGTGACATAAAAGATACAGGTCAGAGAAGAAACTAACAATAGAGAATGAAAAAAAAACAACTGATCAAGGTCACACCTTGCCATACTAAAATGTAGAGCGGACAGTTTTGGATGTTGAAAAATAGTTTGATATTTCTTTTTTGTGTTGTGATTCATGTACTATAGATTAAATGATGTATAAACTAATATGATAAAACTCATTACGACAATTAAAACATATTCAGACTATTTTTGTATACGTTGATAATGTTTTAAATTTAGATATTTCTACAAATAAATATATGTTTTTTATGGTTAAAACTATAAATTTATCTGATTAATTTTTAGTTCAGACATTTATTGTAAGAAACTTGATTAAGATTATTAAGAAAATGGTATTTACTTGATCATTGAGTATTTTGGTATTGAAGTTTTATGTAGTATAATATTCAAATATTTTTATATGAAATCATATTGAAAAATTGTAAAAAGCATTTTTTTTTGAAAATCATGTGCAAAAAAATTTAATCATGAAGGTATCTATGATAAAAAAAGATATAAAAGTGTAGAAAAGTACTAATGGTATTACTAACAGATTTATCTTTTATATAAGAAAATATGTTTTAACAGGATTAGTATAGTCTAATGAGAATTTTATAATATTTGGTTTCATTTATGACATTTATTACCAAATCACTTTTTTTGTATCATGCTAAAAGTTTTATTCATATGTTTTTAATAATTGCTACTTTTTTTTTTGTCTTATATATTGTTTTCTATTGATAGTTTGTTGAAAGTATTTTATGGTTGAATATATCATCTAATACTAGTCTTATAAATATTTTCTTTTCCTTTCTTTTACTGTAATTTATAAAGTGCATAGTTTATAAATATATATTATAGTTTAGGGCATAGTGGGTATATTATTTATACATTAAAAGTTAAATTTTTATTTACTTATTTGAAATGAATATGTATAAAAGATGTAACTGGGTTGTATGCCAAGTGATTACATTCGTTGATTATGATGAAAAGTCATATTTGTTCATTAAATGTGAAGGTTATTACAAATTGTACATGTATATTGAAAGAATATTGAAGCTTAGAAGTGTTAATATGTGTCATAATAAGATTCAAAATGAGTGAGAATAATTTATATATATATATCTTTGTGATGATATTGGATTTGAAATTAGGTGCGTGTGTGGGTATCTATATAACAGCTGAATAGATAAATATCCACACCATTCTATTACTTTCGCATTCAGCAATACATAATCACTCGTTTTCATCGGATGATGAGCTGGGAAAATTGTTGAACAATTAT